GGAGCGGGACCTTCCGCCACCTAGGGCGGCAAAAAATCTGGCAGCGCTCCTGCCTGCCCCATCCAACCACCCCTTCTCTTGTCCCTTGACTGCCCCCAGAACCCCTGCCCCTGACTACCCCCTGCCGCCCCATCCAACCTCCCCTCCTTCCTGACTCCCCACCTGGGACCCCCGCCTCCTGAGCACCGCCCCGAACTCCCCTGCCCTCTATCCAACCCCCCCTGCTCCCTGCCCCCTTACCACACTGCTGCTGCCGCCGCCATCACGCAGCTCAGAGTATCAGGTCGGGTCAGGCTGGGCTCTGCAGCTGTGTTGCCCCAGGAGCTCACAGCCCCGCCACCCAGAGCATTGCGCCGGCAGTGGAGCAAGCGAGCTGAGACTGCGGGGGAGGGGAACAGCAGGGATGGGGCTGGGGGCTAGCCTCCCAGGCCAGGAGCTTGGGGGCTGGGCAGGATGGTCCTGCCGGCTGGATGTGGCACGCGGGCCGTAGTTTGCCCACCCCAGCTCTAGAACTGTACTACCACCGCTACAAGTTTACAATACTTTGAAAAGGTAAAATCTCAAAGGGAAAGGCTCACATTTCAGTCAGTAGTTTCTAGAATGGTTCTGTCTCGTGAAAAACTCAGCTCTGCTGTTCTGCTTTCTCTCTGTGGCTGGAATTTCTGCTTTTCCCAAACAGCAAGAGCACTTCAGTTGTCAAAAAAGCAGCGGTTTATTGCTTCGAGTTAGAAAAGGTTGAAGCACCTTCCAACAATGCTTGTTCCAAAATTTCAAGCAGAGTTACCAACAGTTTAGTGTTCCAATGTAGCGAGTTAAATTGTACAACAAATATTGACACTGACAATATATCTATTTAGAACAAGCACCATTTGCTTTAATAATCTAGAAAAACGGTCATATTTTATTAAGGTTCCATTTAGGAATGTGTTATAAGCATGTCGCAAACATGAGAACCAGGTGGTATAGATGGTTATAAGCCCAACAGTAGAAGGTGTTACAGATGGGTGTAAACTGAGCTTATAAGTGACTTGTTAGGCCTGGTCCCCACTAAGCCCCCACTTCGGACTAAGGTACGCAAATTCAGCTACGTTAATAACGTAGCTGAATTCGAAGTACCTTAGTCCGAACTTACCGCGGGTCCAGACGCGGCAGGGAGGCTCCCCCGTCGATGCCGCGTACTCCTCTCACCGAGCTGGAGTATCGGCGTCGACGTCGAGCACTTCCGGGATCGATCCCAGAACATCGATTGCCTGCCGCCGGACCCTCCGGTAAGTGTAGACGTACCCTTAGACTCTATAACAATTCATTAACTATTGATTACAACATCTAATCATTAACGCTTTATAAACTGAACCTTAATACAAAAGCATGACCGAAAGTACCCTGTTTTTACATTGTTATTCAAATGTGACTGTCCCCAGAGGACCAAATGTTCCAGTTTGGCCAATCATAACTGACACCAGTCTTTTCATATAATCAGCTGGTTGGGCAACCTTGGCCCTGTCCACTCCGATGCTCTCGAACTCCCAAGGCAATCCCCCTCAACGGACTCCTAGCACTCCACTGAGACGGCCCAAAGGGAGGCTATTTGCCCTTAAAGTTGCTTTTTGGTTGAGGCAAACACGTCTTTGTATTTTAAAGGAAATACGCTCAGGCCAACATCACCACCAACCTCTACGTGATCAGTGAGCCATGGCTCTTCTCTCTGGCCTGGTGCGTCGGAGTGCACTCTGTGACCACCAATGCTGTACACTCTCTGAAGGACATCAACCGACCTCTCTTCCTCATGGTAAGGGGAAAAACCAGCCCTGCTCTCTGGGAGAGAGGGACCCAAAAGACTGTTCAGGGACTGATGATGGTCATCTGTGCCTTTTATTATATGGAGAGATATCTATCTCATAGCACTGGCAGGGACCTTGAAAGGTCATGAAGTCCAGTCCCCTGCTTTCACAGCAGGACTAATTACTGTCCCTGACAGATTTTTGCCACAGATCCCTAAATAGGCCCCCTTGAGGATTGAACTGACAACCCTGGCTTCAGCAGGCTAATGCTCAAACCACTGAGCTATCCCTCCCCCTTTGTGGGACAGGTTCATCCCTGCTGTGGGGAAGAGGTGGAGGGGAGACCTCTGCCACCAGACACAAGCTAGGGCAATGTCCTAAGTGGCATCCCCTGTTTAAATGGCCCCTGTGGAGCTCGGCAGGAGTCCAGGTTTGCACCAGCCTTGTTCTCTCCCCATTCCTCTGAACTCAGAACACCTCTGCCCCTGGGGGTACTATGGTGGCAGTGCATAGGCCCCCCTGCACCAGTATTCCCTGAGGGAAGGGGTGAGGAATTAGCCCCTTCCCTGCCATCTCTTTGGACCAGCCACATTGGCACTAAGGGGCACCGAGGCACTGATGGTTCAGACCCAATGGCCACATTCTGGCTATTAATAGGAATAAAATTGAACGTACCCACTGGCAAAACATCCCCGGCGTGGCTGAAAAACGCAGCTGAGCCGAGGCCTGCAAGAGCTGAGAGACTCAGGCCTTGAGAAGAGGGAAAAGAAACCAATTTTAGAGAGCCCCTGCAGAGCTGGGGCTCCACCCACCTGAGGAGACATCCTCCTGCCTGCTGAGGGAGGTCTTCTGTCTAGAAGCCCCCTGGCCACGCTAGTGGTCTAGGCAGTGTGTCACTTCTTGCAGCACCCTAGCTTCTTGCTCGTGTATGATCTGGAGGCAGAGGCCTGAGGAAAAGGAGCATTATAATCACCTTACTTTGGTGGGAGAAGCTTGTGTTTTCCTCCAGCCACTCGAAGAAGCTGGTCTGACAGCCCCATGGATCTCACCTTATTCATCCAGACCCCTCCGAATACCGTGTTGGGTGAAGGGGTCTCCTGTGCTGTTGGTCCCATCCATAACCTGCCCACCCTGAAGCTTCCTACGTTTTACATATAGCCACAGGACTTCTTTCAAGCTCACAAACTGGATATAATCCCAGATAGGCCAAACCTGCAAAGTTTAGACCCAAATTGGGACTTTCCCAATGGTCAGAGGCCTTCAGATTTAGGGATTTGGTTCAACCTGTTGCAGGGTTATGGACAAAGTTCTCATCTGGATCCTCCGGGGATTCATATCCAGGGATTTGGGGTAGGCCTATTTCAGTGTTCCCCAAACATTTCAGGGTCGCAT